GGGGGTCTTGCTTCCCCAAAATACACTTTCTTTTTTTAATAAATTCAAGTCAGTCTTCAGTGATTCTATGATTCTATATCCCAGCTGCAAATACATTGTGAGGACATTTTAAACCTTTATACCCCTAAGCATATACTGAAGCATCACCTGAAAGCATTTCTTAATTGTTAAGAAGCACATCACAAGTCCGTATGTTGTAGCACAGCCAGTAGTTAACAGCACCTTCTTACATTTTAAGGGATGCTTCAGCCAGGACAAGTTCACTTATTTCATGTAACTTGTAAAGCAGTTAGTGCCCTCACCACATCCTGTTTAAAAAAATCCCTCAGAACTAAAACACATACACAACTCCTCTTTTTGTTTGTGCTTTATCTGCACGCGGTACAATTCCCCAGCAAAACACAGATCAAAGAATACAGAGAAATTTCATAAGTCAAATCCAATACACACAGCACCAGTTAAGGTATGTGGAAAAAGAAAAGATAAGCAAAGAACTTACTTTTCAGTATATTGGCCACATCTATTAACATTTCAGACATGAAATGCTGCAGCTGTTATTTTTATGTGCCTTCCTATTGCTGACAGATTTCTCACATTTTTCCCCCCCACATGCAATTACAGAATTGAGCTGCAGACCTCGTGGACAGGAAAAAAGCCACTGCCAGAGAGCCTGAAAAAGGAAGCTCAGCCTACAAGAGGTCATACTCTCCTCTTTCCATCTCCATGAAAACACTTGTTCTGTTTTCCTCCACATGCACACACATTCACTTCCCCTTTTCCTTAGAAACACAAGTTCTGCCTTACCTGCACTACAGCCCTGGAATTCCCAGAGTGAATTCACGCAACAGTTTTATAAGAACTTTTTTCATTAAATGCATGAGCTCAAATAATCTCTGCTTTCCCCCCTCACACCAGCACACACCTATGTCCCGCACTAAATTTTACCAGCACATCTGTGCAGCTGCAAACTGTGCAGTTCCCCCAACAACCCTAAACAGTAACACATTTCAAGTTATTTTCCCAATGAGCTTTTACCTTTTCAAAGCAACTTTCTGAAGGGATAGCCAAGAACAAGTCTGAATGGAGTCTCAAATCTGAAATTCCTTGCTTCTGATGAACTAACCCATCAATGGGATAGGAATGCTAACAGCCCAAAAGTCAGAAGCATGACTAAGGCCTCCACCACCCTAATTATAAAAGGAAAACGAACCACTCCTTTTTCACAAACAAGGGTTTCATTAAAACACTACTCATAATTGTATTTTAGGGTTAGGAATACCACAATGCCTGCCTGCAGAAGTCGTCCACTTATCAGCTCAAGGAGCCACAGGTAGGCAAGATACTTCTGCTCTACAGTTGCTACTTTAAACACCTCTTGAGGAGACCACCTCAAAGCCAGGTTGCCTTACTCAAAAGTTCAGACCTGCTTCTATCAAACAGCCTATTAAAATCTCATGAAGATTCATTATTAGAAATATTTTTATTAAGACAGAATAAAAGAGGCCCTTTTCTTCTGACTCTTTTACTAGTTCTGTACTACATTAACAGACATTTGTAGTTTTCTTTCAACTTTACAGGAAATTGGCATGCTTAAGTTCATGTGACCCAAGCAACCTCATTCCCAAGGCAGTGCTCTTTCTTCTCCTGCACTTCCCCCACTCCCATCTGAAACCAACAAGAGAAATACCACGTTCTCCTTTTTAAACTTCCCTACCACCATGTTTTCATTCTGGTATCACTCAATATCCCCAACAACTATCAATCTTACACTTAAAAAAAGAAGTGCCTACTACACAAATTATTCACTCAAGATACAGCATTCATTCCTCAGAACAAAAGCATACGTTCAGTATGAGCTACTGCCCAATACCTGGAGAGACTAAGCCACCTGAGGAAGATTTTGTAAAGGGTTTTAGCATACAACAACAACAAAAAAAAGCCAGCAGAGATCACCATCAGAACCTATACCATTTTGCAGCTACTAACTGAGTAAGTGAACAGGGACACTACAGCTAGATGAAGGACGCTGGTCCATGTCTCTCCTGTACTGAGGATTCCACATTTGGAAACATTCCTCCAGCTGAGGCATCAGCAGAGAGTTAAGAGGCAGGATTACCTCCCTCACCCTGCTGGCCACACTTCCTTTGATGCAGCCCAGGATACTGCTGGTTTCTGGGTGCAAGGGCACATTGCTAGTTCGTGTCCAGCAGGACCACCAGGTCCTTCTTGGCATGGCTGTGTAAGCAGAATCACAGAATCACCTGGGTTGGAAGGGACCTCAAGGATCATGTAGTTCCAACCCCCCTGCCTAGCAGGGCCACCAAACATACACATTCAGATCAGGTTGCCCAGGACCCCGTCCAACCTGGCCTTGAACACGTCCAAGGATGGGGCATCCACAACCTCCCTGGGCAGCCCGTTCCAGGGCCTAACCACTCTCCTAGTAAAGAACTTCCCCCTAACATCCAACCTAAATCTTCCCTCCTTCAACTTAAAACCATTTCCCCTAGTCCTGCTGTTATCAGCCCTTTTGAAGAGTTTACTCCCCTCCTGGGTGTAGGTTCCCTTCAGGTATTGATAGGCTGCAATGAGGTCACCCCGCAGCCTTCTCTTCTCCAGGCTGAACAAGCCCAACTCCCTCAGCCTGTCCTCATAGGGGAGGTGCTCCAGCCCCCTGATCATCTTAGTCGCCCTCCTCTGGACCCTTTCCAAAATCTCTATGTCTTTCTTGTACTGAGGGCTCCACACCTGGACACAGTACTCCAGATGGGGATTCACATATCAAGCATTCACATATCAAAATCCTACCCGAAATCCATACAGTGCCACGTACTGCAGATCCTCTCATTGACATGCAACCATACACTCCCTCCTTTATTCCCTCAGGGCCCTCAAAAGACTGAGGATTAAAACAAGTTACGCTGAAAAGCATATTCAAATGGCTTCAATCATCATATATAACAATTCCAACACACACTGAAGAAATAGACACCATGACCACGTACACTCACTGCAAGATTCATTATAATATAATACAAACTTACTACTGAAGAATACCTATGCTCATAGCCCAAAATCTTTGTGTTTCTACAAGCTATGAAATCGAAAGCTGTAAGATCCACTAAAAATAATCTGTCAAACTGAGGACAGGTAACATTTTGAGGTGTAAAGAGCGTGCGCTTACCAAGAAGGTCAGACTCTGCTGAGATAATTCAGCTGAAATGTAATGATAACATATAAGCCTCAGAGGAGCAAGAAAAAAAAAATGAATGAGTGGGTTTTCTAAATAACAACAGAACACTTCCAGGTTTTATTGTCCATGTAACTTACACGGAAAAAAGTAATCAGTTGGTGATCTACGATTTGGCTATAAAGTTTAACTCCTTCAACACCACCAAGTTTACCTTCATCACTTTTTCTTTATGGACAATTCTTTATGCTCTGGGCCACAAGCAATAGATGAGAGGAAAATGTCACATGAGCACAGGACAATTAGCTTCAGAGCAGTTATGGGTGAAGTTCTTCACTTCTCACTCAAGGTGTCTACCATGCTTAAACAAGCACAAGAGAGGGAAAAAAAGATTCTCCCCTCCTTTGGACCATACAGCAGTTCTTCTACAGTTGGTCCGTCCTCCACTCCCATTCAGGTACATTTAGGAACATTTGGATGTTGTGGAGAGGAATATGGTTGAATGAGAACTATTGATAGGTGGATGGTTGGACTTGATGATCTTGTGGGTCTTTTACAACTTTGGTTGTTTCTATGATCCATCTTAACTGGAGAGAGATGCAAATATTGTCTTCAAAGATAAATGGAAATGAAGGAGAAAGCATTGTCTGTTTTCAGATAAGTTTAAGAAGACACTGTGATAGTGGCTTTAACTAATATTGCAGCTTCCATACCACAGAGCAGGGAAATCTACCTCTAGCTTATTTTCCACACACCTAGTCCTGCTCCTCCCCCCACCACTCCTGACTGTTATGCAGATGCCAGCACTGATACTATGCATTGAAGCTCAGGAAACCATAAAGGCAAAGAGGTCACTGAGTCAAGGGCAGGAGAAAAAGGGAGCAGGAGGGTCCACAAAAGCAGGTTTTAGAGCTACTTAGTTTCTTGGTTTTGTCAAAATCAAGCAAGGGCAAGATGCAAGGACAACAGCAGGACTATATACTGTATCTTTTTCGGTGTCAGGTCACTATCAGTGCTGAAACCACACTGTAAAACCTCACTATGAAACAGACTGAAAGACTTCTGCCACGAAATACATCAGAGCATTCTAAAACAAACTGCTCCGACAACAACGCCATTAGAATCTCATCCCTTCCCTGCTCTCAGTATCTCACCGAAGCACAAATGCTGCAAAGCCACCAAGGGCACAGCATGCAACAAAGCCCTTGGGATGAGAGGAAATCTCCCTCCTCCCCCAAGATACTGATACATCCCTCGTGTAGATGCGGATAACTGCCCTCGTTCCCGCCTCCCTGCGGGAGTTACGAGGAAGGGCCACGCGCAGTGCGGCAGGCCCGGCTCAGCACCCGGTGCTCGGTCACCCATCTCAGCTCTCCCCCACATTTTACCCATTTTGACCATAGAGAAACGTGGTGGCTCCCCTCCGTTTGTCGGCTCGAACGTGCCCTCTACAGATAGCTCCGGAGCAGGGCTTCGTAAAACCCGAGAGCTCACCTCAAGCCGCGTTTTATTATCAATTCCTTCACCCTACGGCTTCGCAGCGGCTCCAGAGGGACCCGCTTCGCCTCGCCACCTCCGCCTCCCTCCAGCGGGCCCTACGCGCAGCGAGCAGGCGGCCCGAGGGCACCTGCACCGCATGCGGCCCTACCGCAGGCCTGCTGGGGCAGCAGGAGGCCGCGCTGAGCCCGCTGCGAGATAAGGCCGCAGAGTGCTTGCACGGGGCCGAGCGCCAAGGAGGGGACCCGACCCCCAGGGGTGAAGGGCGGGGGGAAAGGCTGAAGCTCGGGGAGAGGCCCCGCCGCGCCGTTACCTGTGGCGCCAAGCATGAAGTCCAGGGTGCTGTGCCGCGCTGCTGCCATAGTGAGGTAGAGCCCTGTGCCATGCCTGGAGAAGGCGGCGGCGGCGCGCAGAGTGCGGCGGGCAGCCTATATGTGCGCGGGGCTGCGGCGGCGCCGCGGGGGTGGGAGCGAGCCGGGCCGGGCGGGGCTGTAATGGAGGCGGGGCGGGGCCGTGATGGCGGAGCGGCGGTTGGCGACCCCTCGGCACAGGGATGGGGCTGAGGGTTGGTCGAGGGGGAGGGTGGCGTGGGGGCGGCGAGATGGCGGCCGCCGCTGGGGAGCCGGGGGGGGGGGGGGAGGAGTAGGAGAAGGAGAAGAAAAAGGCGGGAGATGGCGGCGGAGGGTGCTCCCTTAGGCGGCTCCCGCCCGCACCGTGAGGCTAAAATAAAGAAAAACAACCCGTTTCTTTTAAGATTCAGTCCCCCGTAACGAAATTCCTGGACGGTCTCCTAGCGCCGGGGCCACGGAGCAGCCTCCAGCAGCAAGGGCAGCCCCAGCGTTGGGGCCGCCGATCTGCTCCTCACCCTTGCCCTCACCGAACAGAGAGGTTGCTACCTTCCCATAGCTTCGCTAGCGCTGGAGAATCTCACAGACCTTTTATTTAAAGTCTTTAACGAAGGATAACTAGAATTGCTTGCGGAAACCACAAATGATAGGAGCCATATGTAATTACAAACCCAGCAACGTCCCACCCAGAAGCGGTTAGTAATAGGATCAATGATTAATGTTGTCAGGCACTGCGAATGTTACAGCTTTGGATTCCTTTCTTGCAGAAATCTGCAAAAACGAGATCTAAATGTGAACAGTACAACAGTATCAGTGATTTCCTGGCATTCTGCAGCTTAAAGAATAAAAAGTTTTACAAGAAATAAAAAGGATTTACAAGAAATCACTTTTACATAAGCTAATGTATCACAGTCATTATTTCTATAAGTTGCGGTAACATTTTTTTCTGTTGCAAGCTTTCATTGCCTGCTCTGCAATTCCACAGATCTGGAGTAAAGCAAAAACGTTCCCTGGAGACATGTATCAAAAAAGCCAGAGATGTCTGCAGGTTTGCAGCAATTTCATTTTTGTCAGCTGGTGTTGATTTGACTCTGCCAATCCATGAGAGACCTGTTAAGAAAAACTAGTTAGCCAAAGTATGGGGTTGTGCAAATTCCTGTTAAACGTATTTGATCCAGTCCTGCATGTAATACAGGGGACTGCACCAGTCCTGATTCCCCAAATGCGAGGAATTGGGTGTGCACATTGCTGTTTCACCAAGAGTTTTGCTTTTTCTTAGTGCTGTGCCCTCAGAGAGAAAATAAATAAATAAATAAATAACCAAATAACCAAATAAATAAATAAATAAATGAAAATTCATTGCTTCCTTGCCACTATCTCTGGTCTCTCTCTTTTTTTTTTTTTTTTTTCAGGTATAAAGCTGCCACAGGACAGCCCGGAAAATTCCCGTATTTTATGATCTCTGATGTCTCTCACCTTTGCAACAGTAGCAGTCATTTCAGTTATTACATACAGGAGCTTACTGTCTTAGACTTCAGTGCAACAAGGAAATAACCAATGCCTTTTGTTTAGCTGAAGCAATTACATTATCTTTCCATTGAGGAATAGTCAGAAGAAAGTAATGGTGATGTTGTCACCTAAATATACCTTCAAGTATTTGTTCATACGTGCCAGGAGCCTAGCTCAATTATGCCCTTATATACACATGAACAACTTCACCAATTTACAGGGGAAAAAGTAGAGCAGATCTTTTCCTGGCATTAATTTTGCTACTTAAGGCCGACCATTCTAGACTAGTACTGGAAGATGGGTGGAGCATTATCTTTTTAATTAAACTTGCTATGGAAAGAAAGAAACAGAACAATCATCTTACCCTATTCTTTTTTATATGCTTGGGAATTTTATGGATCATCACTGGACTTCATCTGAAGAGCTGGAAAGGCTAAATTAATTATTTCTGAGAACAATATCAAATCTTTCTTAGATTTCAATGTAAAGGACAATAATTAGATATAAATGGTTTTCACAGCTGCTCATTAAGTTAGGTGGAGATGGGAAAGCTGGCAAAACAGCGTGAACAAATTCAAAAAAGGAATATGGGTGGGAAAATAAAAGGTTCACAGTGGAAATGTTGATATAGCCGCAGGAAAGTATCCAACAAGAGGAAGAAATCTGCAGTACTGACCTGTAGGAGTGAAAGCAGACAGTAAATTATATGTAGTCTTACAGAGCAGAAACATCAGAAAGCCCACAGATGCCTTCAAGTGATGGATCCCATCACCGAGGGAGAAACTAACAGATTTTTCTCTTCCGTTCCTTTGGCATGACTACCCTTTGCCTACTACTTAACTAGGTCATGCCTGGGATATTTTGGGGAATCTTCCTATTAGAAAATTACACGCAAGGGAAATTTAAAGAAGAGCAATTAAAATAATTAAAGAGATTGAGGGATTGATTTACGAGGCATGATCAAAAGAGCTTGAATATTAAAACACGTTTCTCCAATACTGTGGATTTCAGATGACATCATAGTGTTAAGATTAGCACAGGCTATATGAAACGAGTTTATTCAGTATATGATTACATGCATATTTTGAAGCCAGTAGAGATTGCTAAAGTGGATGCAACAGGTAAAAAAAAAAAAAAAACAAAAAAACACATTTGTGCACCAGTGTTTGCCCAGTTATGGAATGCTTTATTCTGAAACGCAGTGACAGAGGCCCTACTCTCTATGGGGAGATTTGACAGATTAGATAAGATACACAGGCTGAAGGGAACAATCTCACAGAGGGTGGTGACACAGTGGAACAGGTTGCCCAAGGAGGTTGTGGATGCCCCATCCCTGGAGGCATTCAAGGCCAGACTGGATGTGGCTCTGGGCAGCCTGGTCTGGTAGTTGGTGGCCCTGCACATAGCAGGGGGGTTGAAACTGGATGATCACTGTGGTCCTTTTCAACCCAGGTCATTCTATGATTCTATGATTCTATGTAAAAGTCAGGATTAAGGCCTCTAATTGTATGCAATAACTTGCACTAGAGGCCCATTTTAGCCTGCATCCCCTGTTTTTCCATACACACCCATAGCCAGCTGAAATACCAAACATAACAGTATTTTTATTCACAATCTCACAGTTCATCTTCTCTGACTGCATCCATCTATGTTAACTGATCTGTAAATATTTCACCTGCTGGTGCCACAGCCTGAAATTCGCCTCAGGAATTAAAGTTGAAAACAACATATTCCTCACAGACAGCAAAGAAATATCTTACAGGAATACCATTATCCTTGTGTTATTTTAGATAGTTCACAGAAGATTCGTTAGCACTCTTTTTGGACCACCCGTATACCTCACAGCTTTGTCACCTTTGAATAAGGTGGTCATCTTGTAATGCTAAATGAAGCCTTGAAGTCAAACATGCGTGTTTAACAGGTGTGCATACACACAAAATCTTTCACATCTGATTCTTTATATAATTAATTAATAATTTCTCCTAAACAGAGGCATTTGTACAGTACAATTACGTAAACAGCACAACGTGGTAACAGCCTATGCTGAAGTTAGAAGATAGTAACAAAATGGGAAAAGCAGGTGCTAGAAACAAAAGAGGCTTAGAGTTTGGTGCGAACACCTGGGAACTGTTTCATCACCTTCAGTGTTTATGTATCATATTGGGTCAGTTTTTACCCTAGAATGTTAACAACGACAAAAACACACTGAGAAACAAACCAACAAAAAACCCTACCCCCAAAGCTCTACTTCTTTCATATTTGCTCGTAATTGATAGAGGTTGTAATTGATAGAGGTTGTAGTATATTTGTAGGAGAGGGAAGGTAGTATCTAGACAGATACATCCTTTCAGGAAGGTGTAATAAGGAAAAAAGAGCATTGTAAGCTTCTGACTTAGAAGAAAATAACCTGAGATAAGGATGTGGTACTATAATTTTGACCAGTGATGAAGTTCACATCTTAGCAAAATAAAGACATCATATAAAGACACGTTGATGACTAAGAAAACTAGAACGTAGTAGTCTAATGAATTTACTTCTTTAATTCCTACTTCTGCTTCTGTGTCTGAGCACGTTACTGTTTACTAAAACAAAATTTATCTCCCTTTTCTTGGATGCTCACAATCAAATACATAGACTTCCTTGGGCACTGCTCTAATCTTTAAAGGAAAAAAGAGGCAGGAAACTGTCTCAAATTAAATGCTAGCTACTGCAGAGTCTACATCTTATTGGAAACCATAAAAAAAAATCTAACTTGAAAAACAAGTGTGTTGAGTTAAGCAAGGCAACAGATTCAAACTGATTACAGGGATGAGTGAAGATTTAATTTTTTTTTTTTTTTTTAGGTCTGCAAACAAGGACCCTAGAGAGTCAAATTATATCACAGGATGTAAGGCACCTCACAGAACAGGAGAACAATTTCAGGAAGTTTTAGGAAACTCAGATAAGAGATAATTGCTTAAGTAAATGCTACTATAAATTATAGCAGCTATTACACTCTGCTTTTTGAAAGCCCTCTCCTGGATAAAGGCCAGAGTGCTGCATTTGAACCCTTATGATGGGATTTCCTTTGATCCAAACAGGTAAGCAGTCTTCTAGAGAAATTGTTCCCCTGTTTACTGTGAAAGGGAGACCTGATGCCCAATGGCCCAAAAATCTTGATTGTCCTGTACACCTCCTCCTTCTGGAATACACTGCTTTTGGTTGAGTTTCAAGCCTGACATACTCAGAGATTCTTTTGAGAACACCGAGAAATACCCATGGAAACCACTGAGAGACCATTCCTTACCTTCACCTCTTCACCAATATCCTTGCTGATGTGTCCTACCTTAGCCCAGGGTCCTGCCTCTGACCCACACATCCTGGTTTTGTGGTTTTGGTGGGTTTTTTTTTCTTAACTTCCAAAATGTGAAGTCCTGACACTGCTCCTTTCCGTGTTTTTCTACAGATATTTGACCATGGAACAAAATTCCCTCAAATCCCAACTAGTATCTCCTCCCTCCCCAAACCAAATGCAGAAAAAGATTAGATGAACATTGATTTGTGAATCCCAGCACAATTTTGTCCCTGAACCCATCATGTGGCAAGGAAAA